TCATCAAGAAAATTCATTGAAAGAGGAANTTGGGAAGATAGAGAACGTGAATTAATTGATAAATTTGGTAATGTTATTAGACATTTACAAATGGAAATTGCAAAACAAAATATAATGTTTAATAAGGCAAAAAATAGACAAGAACAAAATAATCAATCAGATGAATCTTTAGAAAGAGTTATTGATGGTTTTTTATCTGTACCAAATGTTAAACAACGTATCATTGCTAAATTAGTTGAACAAGGTGAAGTTAAAGAAATAAGTCCTTGGTCTGAAGAGAAATCACCTCAAAGAGCAGATGACGTTGTCAATTCAATTCTTAGAGAAAATTCAATTGATTTTAATGATAATTCAAATAGTATGGATTCAAATAGTTTAGATTCTAATAGCGCCGATTCAAATGATTCATTGAGATATGATCATCAACAAGAACAGCAAGAACAATTCGAACAATATGGAGAACAAGATGAACAATATAGTGGTGACATGAATGAACAGATGCAACAAGAAGAAGAACAATTTGGTAGAAGAGGTAGAAGAAGAAGAAGTTTGAGTAGTCATGGAGGTGAGAGTCAGAATGATGATAATTCATCCTACTATGATTAAACATAATATTGGCACTGAATAAGAAGAAAATTTTTAAATTATTGGTGTTCAGGATATTAATATTGAAAGAGATGTTGAGCTCACAAACCAAGAACAAGGTTTCTTATAAAAATAATACTTAGTAATTGTAGAGGCATGAGCAAGCATTGTGTTTTACAAGCATCCTATTACAAACAAATTTCATTCAAGTTAATTCCAACAACTCAAATTCTACAGTTGAAATTTTCACAAGAGATTCTCTCAGTGTGATAGAAAGGAAACACATTCTAATTCAACTTGAAGAAAGGAATGTTTACCTTGTTAAGAGCGTTATTAAACGTCGAGCTAATGGTGAATTGTAAACGCACAATGACGCACAAATTGAATTGTCGAAGTTGCGACTTGAAGCCGTCTGCATAAGCAGTTGAAATTTGCTGTCTTGCTGTGTTGTGCTGACATATGGAGTTTTGCACAGTTCAATTAAAAAAAAAAGACATTATCTAATAATATCTACTAAGTTGTCTTGACACTAATTTTCATTATCCATCAATATTCAACACATCATCACAGTAATAACAGTAGTAGTAGATAGTATAATATAGTAAATTGTAAAAATGAATTACTTTTTAGAAGTAATTAAACAAATATTTATTCTATTGAAAAAGAATGCTTTATTATATGTAAGT